CCCCCTGGGAGTCTCTCGGGAGACGTTAGAGAGTGTTGGAGCAGCACTCGGGGGTCTTGGGGCTCTTTGGTGGGAGGGGGGAGGGGATGAGGCAGATGGGGGGAGCAGGGAGATGGAAGGGCATGAGGCGAGGCGAGCGCGCATTGACGGTCCGACATGCTGGCCCTACGATAATGCCGGGCAATAGGAGTCATTCTACAGGAGGAATATTCAAAAATAGTATTAACACATAGTTTTGGGACGAATTGTTAAAATGAGTTTCGAGTATGTTTGAGTATTTCTTGGCTGAATAGTATTTCTCGTACAGAATCCGCCTGTTGGAGAACACGCCCGACCTAATCCTACGAGGGCAGCGCCGACGAGCCGGGACCCAGAAAGGGCTGGAGGGCTGCACGAGGGGCTCGGGCCGCCGCGCTGGTGACTTGTAGGCACTGGCTCCAGCGTCATCCGCGTATCGGCCACGCGTAGAGGATGGTATGGGGGAGGGGGGAAGGCTTCTTAGATAGGGGGCCACATGCCAACCCTACCCCTACCCCCCACGAACGAAGTGAACCCCACCCTCCCCCTGAGAAATCGTGGGGGGTAGGGGTAGGGTTCGCATGTGGCCCCCTGTTAGAAGCATCCTTGTTTCTTTGAAGACGTGGGCCTTCTCGACAGATGTAAGGCGGGCGCCTTCTAAGAAGCCGCCTCCTTCTAAGAAGCCTTCCCTCCTCCCCCATACCATCTTGTGCGCGCCGCCAAGTGTACCCGCTGGTGGTGCCCTTCGTCCCCAGCACTGGCGTACACTAGAAATTCTTGACGCGTCGCGTAACCCCACTAGGTTCGCGGGTGCCTGGGGCTTCGAGCTGAGTGACCTCTCATCCCTGCACGGGAAGTTGGAAGACATTATCAAGCATATCAGCACGCTCGCCACCTATGCCCACCACCACCAGGTTGCAACCAATCACGGTTGCCCAACCACCTGGGCTGGAATGCTGAAGTGCAAGTTCACGCTGGAGACCCCCATCAGAGTCCTGGAGGAGATAGTCAAACCAGCCGTGATCAAGTCCCTGAGCAAGGAGAAGTGTTCCATCTGCACCCTCCACAAGGAGCGCAGCGGGTCCGAGGACGGGCTCGGTTGCCCAGACTTAATGGCAGACCTGGAATACATTGGCGGAGGAATCGCCATGTCCAACAGGCGGCTCGACGAAGACTCCTCTGCATCCCCAGCCCCCGGAACAACACTCACCCCACCAAAGGTAGGTGACGACAGGTTCCGCGTCAGGCTGCAGGACGACGGCAGCTTCGACTGCGACGGAGACGACTGCCCAAACACGGGGATCAAAGGTACTGCTGGTGCCTGGGAGGATGACGACACAAGGGAACTCCTGGCACAAAAACGCTCCCAGGCGTACATGCAGGGCAAAAAATTGCAAGGGGCATCGAGGTCCCCCTAGCCGCGCACGACTGCGGCAACAAGAAGTCGCTCCAGCAGTGCCTACAGGCGTACAGGCGCACTTTGGACGAGGCACGCTACAAGAAGAATTCCCGCACTCTCCCGTCCCTGGAATTATTCCCAATTGGATATGGCCGGTCCGACACAGCGCAGACCTCCTCCAGCCTGCGGGACCTTGTCATGAGCACCCCCCTTGTTTACAGGCCGCAGTCGGTCGGCACCACCCTACCAGCTCACAAGCTGTCCGACGGAGGATTCGGGCCCGACCCGCACCGCTCGAATACCTACTCCGCCAAGTGCGACACCTGCCCTGCGGGATCGCCCCTGCTCGAGTTGTCGGTGACCAGCCCCGCCCCTGGCTGCTTTATGTGGAGCCCGGAGCCAGGAGCGCCGTGTAACACCGAGACAGGGCTACCGCCATGGGACATCATGCCTACGCTGTGGACCCAGCAGCAGTGGAACGCAGGATGGGCCTGCAGAGGGTGCCTCATCCACATTTGGAACGTGGCACCTGGCACGCTCGACCGCATCCTGCACCAACACTCCTCCAGTGCATGCCCTACGGCGCCAGCCAAGCGCGCAGCAGCAGCGGAGGTGCAAGCGGAAAGCCACGATATCAGCGTCTACCTTCTCCCCGGCTAGCGTCAATGCAGCTGCCAAGGACGCGTGCTCAAGGCAGACAGCTACTGGCGACGAGCCTACCCCCAACGGCGAGGAGCACGACAGCGGAGCAGGGGAAAGTAACGGGCCAGGGAAGGCTGCACGCGACATCAAATCCCTGTTCCCCGACGTCTCCCCACCAGAGGGCCCCGCTCTGCCAGCCCACTCCACCTCTGGGCTCGCCGGGGTGGAACCAGACGGCCCCATGCGACCCTTGGTGAAGTACCTGCTCGAGTGGAACCACTCCGTCTACAGGCGATGGGCTGATTTCGTGCTGCAGCATGGTGCGGGGATCACGGGTGATAAGACCGATGGAGGATCGTGGCCCCCCCGCACGTCCACGCCCTTTCTTGGACATAATCTACGGGGAAACGACCCCGAGCAACTGCCCACACACACACACACGCACACACACACACACACACACACACACACACACACACCAACATCCCATGGGGCGGGCAACGGGCCGCGGTGGCACGAGTGGTTTACCACTTAACAAAGTCCAACGAGAGGTACGAGGTCATGCGGTGCAGTTACGCTTCCAACCTAGCCGAGCAGCGAGGACAGCGCCCCCTTCGCCAGCGGATCAGCACACTGTTGACATACCTCATGGGGATCGACCGCGCCGCCCTTGCCTACGGAACCATCGGCACACTGGCCCACCGAGACCCACGCGAGGCAGACACAGGCTCCACAGCGGCGGCCGAATCCCCAGCAGCAACCTGGCTGAACAGAGCAGGCGAAACCGCAGAACCTCCCCCCCAACAGACAGCCACGGACCTGCGCGGGAGGCCACTGCTGACTACGCTCCCAGAGCAAACCCCCGCGCTACAGGAGCCGACGGGGGAGGCGGTCCTCCGACGGAAGGGAGAGGCCCCCCCCCCACCAGGCAGGCAGAATCGAAGGCGAACCGGAAGGGGTCGATTGGGACGAAGACAAGAGAAGCGAGTCATACACAGCCAAGGACACGAGCCCGGCGGCCAGCCCAACCCCTGTGGCGGACGATGGAGAGGAGGAGGGCTCCTCCGACCCCCTCAACATCTTCAAGGACCCGCCCGCCAGGCCCGGCGCCTGGACCCAAGTCAGGAGGGCGAGAGACAGCCCACAGAGAGCAAGCAGCTCGACCTGGAGCATCAACGACGCCAGGGGCGACCGCATCCTCAGCCGCGAGGCCGGGGACAAGGGCCGCCAACGGCCCGCGTGGGGCGACGCCAAGGACGGAGAAGGTCGCGCCACCACATCTCCAAGAGGCAACCCCGCGCGAGTGGAGATCTACGAGGCGCCCTGGAAGGACATGGGGGCCACGCAGCCGCCCTGCGAAGACCCAAACGATCCCACGGGAGGCATCCCCATGTACATGTGCCCCGTAGCAGCTGCACACGTTGGGGGGAAGGGGCCGGCGCAGGATAAGATAACACGCCTGCAAAAGACGCTGGGAGGAGCGTTCAATGGAATTTGGGCCGCATGGGTGAAGAGGGCCGCCCTGAGACAGGAGCTCAGCAGGAGCCGAGAGCACAACCCCAAACTGAACGCAGTCCAGTCGTGCAACGAATTCCTCGAGGCATTGAGCGACGCAGGGCGCGACGCCTATAAGATGGACAGCGAGCTAGGGCTCAACGTCAACTGGGCAGCTGTCAAGGACAAGCACATGAAGGTCATGCACCGCGACTCCCGTGCGCACGCTCAACGCGATCACGACAGCAACAGCAGACCCGCCCCTTGGACAGCAGAGGGCAGAACTGCCACCGCTGCAGCCGCACATGACCGATGGGCAGGCGCCGTCGGCTCAGCCACCCCCGGCCAGTGGCAGGACTGGCAGGAGTGGAGCTCCTGGGGCCAGCAGAAAGCCCCATGGACGGACACGGACTGGATGGGAAAGGGTAAGCGGTATTCCCCCAGGGGGGATGACCCGCACACGCAAAAGCGCGCCCGATGGCGGGTTAGGGGGGACTCTTACGCCCAGGGCTAGGCCAGGCCAACCCGTCACAGCACCCCCGGCCCTCCTGGCCAACGTGCTCCGCCCCCCTCACCACCTGCCACCCCCCTTCGGGGCTTGTTTCACCTCGCAGCGTTCGGCCTCGGCCGCAATACCTTGGGGCAACATCCGCTGGGGCGGAGGCCGCCCCACATCTCACCCAGGGCGCAGCATGGCTAGACAGCCCGCGCTGGATACGTGGACCCATTTCACCCCCCTGCTCAACAGGGGACCAGCCCGCTGAACTGACCGGCCCCGGGACCACCCACTTTGCTGTCCAACGGCGGCAGCCGCCCATCCTTCGGCGACAGGGGGGCGGCGGCAGAAGCAGCCCCCCCTGCACGCCAGCATGCCGGCCTGTTATTTCAGGCCACAGTTTTGGCTGCTTCGGCTCCAGCGGCGAGTAGCTGCGACTCCCCAGGACCCACTTCCTGGGACGCACCTCGCTGCAGGCTCACATCCTCTGCGCTGGCTGCGGCCCCGGTGGGCCTTCACCCGTTCGCGCGCAGTCAACAGAGACTTCAGCGGCGATTAGCTGCGACCCCCACGATGTGTAAAAGAGATCCTAGCGGCGATTAGCTGCGACCCCCCAGTTATCCAATGCAAGTGCTAGCGGCGATTAGCTGCGACCCCCAGGACGATCCAAGAGGAAGACCACGGCCCCTGGCCCACGGCAGCAGGGTGCCTGGCCGTGGGGTGAGGCTTTGCGCCCCCTCGCCTTTCCCCTCCCGGGCCCGGCGGGCGCCCCCCGCCCGTGGCTCCGGGGCTCGCCTGACGCTGCACTTGCGTCGGTGCTGAGACCCCCCCTCCCTGTTCACGCCGTGGTCCGTGCTGCTCGTGGTCCTGCTCTGCACCCCCCGCGACGGTTACCACGGCCCAGGGGGGGCACGTGGTCTGTGTTGGCGCTAGGGCCCAGGGGAGGCGCCATGCGACAGTCTGGGTTTGGCTGGCCACCTCAGCTTCTTCACGAAAGCGGACCCCCCCAGGCAGGCAGCGCAGTCGACACCACCACGCGCGCCGCCCACCCCCATCCGACGGCGACGCCCCCCACGCCAGCGGAGTTCCTCGGCTCTCCCCCCAGCACTGTGATGCGGATCGCTGAGGGCTCTGCGCTGAGTGGTTCAGCCTACAACGCCTGTGCAGCCTTTGGTCCTCCCTGCTGTCGCGCACTATTTTCTGGTCCCGACCGCTCAGCCGTTCGGCTTGTGCGGGTCGGCCGCGGAAGTCTGGCGCCGCATTGGCGACTCACTTCGGGGCATCCGCACTTTCACCGGGCACGGCGGCCTGCCCACTGTGGTTAGGGCTGCTGCGCCTAAGTGCGTCTGCCTCTCGAATTATGGTCATTTTGTTCAGTGCATGCGCAGGTGCGAGCTGTCTGTCCGCCGACTCTGGCTGGCGGCGACTTGTCTTGCAAATTAGCCCCGCCCGTGGCCCGGGCGCCGCTTCCGCTCCCTGACCGTTGCCTCGGAGCCGCTGACCAAAAAAAAGTAACCCCACCAGGACTAGTGTTCGGACGGCTTTCGACCCGCCTCGCGAGCTTGTTGACCAAAAAGTAACCCCACCAGCCTTCCCGTGCGCTAATTTAGGCCGTCGCCTCTGCGCTTCGCCCCTTGACGCCGCCCGAGTCGCGATCAACTGCCCAGCCGCCCAGGGGTCGGTCGATCACACACGCACACACACACACACACACACACACACACACACACACACACACACACACACACACACACACACACACACACACACACACACACACAGACACACAGGAAGGGTCCCCTTGCGGAAACCTCTTGGAGCGTCTTGGGAACCTCCTGGCGGTCCTGGGGGCCTTTTGGAGCGTCTTGGGTGCCTCGGGGAGTTTCTTGGGGCCTCTTGGGGGTCTCTTGGTAGCCTCTTGGAGGCCTCTTGGGGCCTCCTGGGCGCCTCTTGTGGCCCTCTCCGAGGCGCTCTTGGGAGCCTTGAGGGCTCTCTGGGGGCCATCTTGGAGGAGATCGATCAAACAAGATGGGAGCTCGAATTACGACCCCCCCATCGGGAACCCCACACATCGCATCTTGTTTGTGGGGCGCTCTTGGGCGCTGTTAGGGCCGTCTTGGGGTTCTCTTGGGCCTCTCTTGGGGCCCTCATTCCCCCTCTTTGAGCTGGCTGTTTTGGGGCTTCGGAAGGCCATCGGACGGGAAACGTCGAGAGGTCAAAATTCACTGATGGTCCCCAGGTTTTGAAGGATGTTGCCCTCTTGGCGACCTCCTGGGAAGTCTCGGAGGCTGGAGCGTTCTTGGGGCCTCCAGGAGCATCTTGGGAGCCATCTGAAGCCATCTTTGGCTATCTTGAGCCGTCTTGGCGGTCATCTTGTGCTCTCTGAGGCCCTCTTGGAGCCATCTTGGGCCATCTTGGACGCTCCAACGCCTCGCGAATCCCCCCATCCAGGTCCAAAGGAGGGGGTAGCGCCCAGAGGGCTGGTGGGATTCTGGCTCGAGTTCCAGCATCGTTGGTTTCACCATCACTGTGCGCATGTACTTCGTGATTGTCGTCCTCGCCGTGGTCGTCCTCGCCGTCGTGCGCATGGGTAGTGGGGTGCGTGAATTCGGGCCATTGTTTGTCGTCTCGTTTCTTGCGCTCTCCTCCGTGGCGGCGTCGGGGAGGCGAGGAGGGGAAGGGCATGGGAAGGGCATGGCAGGGGAGGGGCCGGCGATAACCCCGAGAGCCAAGGGGGGTGTTCCCGACCGTGGCCCTCCCCACCGAGTGGAGGCCGAGCTCTGGAGTCCCAGGCGGCTCAGCGCACAGAGACGAGGGGGCGGCGGACAGCGCGAAGCGCTCGAAACAGCAGTGCGGACACACGTAGAAAATAGGAAGTCGGCCTGGAGAGAATGCGAAAGAGAAGCGCAACCATCCAAACGCAGCGGGCCCGCCTCACCATCTGGAGAGCCACCACCAAGGGAGGGGAGGGAAGGGAGGAGGGAGAAGAGTAGGATGGAGCAGATGGGGGGCTGGCTGGCCCCCCTCCTCCCTAGGAGGTGGCGAAGGGCATGGTCGCGCTGCTGGACCTGCCCTTCTCCAGGCGGAAGAAGGCCCTCCGGGCGCTGCGGCTGCAGTGGCACCCCGACAAGAGGCCGGCGGCCCTGGGCGGCTGCAGGGAAGGGGAACCGCGGGAGAGCGGTGGAGACCTTTCGGAGAAGCATTGGAACATTAGCTGTTTCCTGGACTTAAATTAAATTACACCAGAGAGAAAATGCGATCAGTGGATGGTTTTCGCTGGGGAGATCGACCAGGAACCCGGGAGCCCGGGAACCCAGAACCCACCGAGATCGGCCCCGAACCAATAACCGGGAACCCGGAACTGGGAACCCAGGAACCCAGCTTGCTACCAAAATCGGCGGGAAATGTTCGCCAAGAAACACTGGAACATTCCCCAATCAGTGCTTGCACGCTTTGGAGGGCTCTTGGGCCGTCTTGGAGGCCATCTTGAGCGTCTTGGAGGCCTCTTGGGCCGTCTTAGGGGGCCTCTGGGGGCCGTCGTGGGCCTCTTTGGCGATCTTCGGGTGCACTTGGGCCGTCTCGGGCCGTCGGAAGGCAGAAACAAAAACACAAATGCCACAATCCTTCAAAAACTTACGGGGAACCAGTGATTTTGACCTTTTCGGCCCTTCCTGGGGGCCTTCTTGGAAGCCTCTTAGGCCGTCTTGGGCCATCTTAGTGCCATCTTCGGCCGTTTTAGTGGGCTCCTGGCCGGTCCGACGCCGTCGGGAGCCGCTTGGGGGGCCCCTCTGGGCCGGCTTGGGGCCCTCTTGGAATGGTCCAGGGCCGTCTTGGAGGCCATTTGGGGCGTCTTCAAAGCCTCCTGGGCCGTCTTGGGGGCCTCTTGGGCCGTTCTGGGGCCATCTTGGAGGCCTCTTGGGCGATCTTTGGGCGATCTTTGGGGGCTCTTGGGCCGTGTTCGGCCTTCGGATGGCCGAAAAGAAGCAAATGTCAAAATCCTTCAAACACCTAAGGAAAATCAATGTATTTTGCCTTTTCTGGCCTTCCTGGAGGCCCTCTTGGAGGCCTCTTGGGCCGTCTTGGGCCAGCTTCGAGCCAGCTTCGGCCATCTTGGTGGGCTCCTGGCCGGTCCGACGCCGTCGGAAGCCGTTGGGGGGGGCCTCTCTAGGCCGACTTGGGGCCCTCGTGGGGTTCTCCAGGGCCGTCTTGGAAGCCATCTTGGGCGTCTTGGAGGCTTCTTGGGTCGTCTTTGTGCCCTCTTGGGGTCGTCTTGGGGGCCTCTCAGGCAGTCCTGAGGCCATCTTGGAGGCCTCTTGGGCGCTGTGGGGGCGATCTTGGGGGCCTATTGGGCCGTCTTGGGTCGTCGGAAAGCTGAAAAGGAGCAAATACGGAAAACCGTTAAAAAATAATGAAAAATCAATGAATTCTTCACGCTTCGCGTATCCCCACCAGCCCATCTCAAAACAGCAACTCTTGCGAAGCATGCCGACAGTCGTGTTTTTCAGGCGTGTTTCCGCCTGCCCCCGCATATCTCCGGGCCTCTCGTCCTGGTGTGAGTCGTTCGGGCCCTTCTTCCTGGTGTGAGTCGTTCGGGCTCTTCGTCGTGGTTTGAGTCGTTCGGGCTCTTCGTCCTGGCGTGAGTCGTTCGGGCTTCTCGTGGTGTGAGTTGTTCGGGCCCTTCGTCCTGGTGTGAGTCGTTCGGGCTCCTCCTCCTGGTGTGAGTCGTTCGGGCTCCTCGTGGTGTGAGTCGTTCGGGGCCCTCGTCCTGGTGTGAGTCGTTCGGGCTCCTCGTGGTGTGAGTCGTTCGGGCGCCTCGTCCTGGTGTGAGTCGTTCGGGCCCCTCCTTCTGGTGTGAGTCGTTCGGGCTCTTCGTGGTGTGAGTCGTTCGGGCCCCTCGTCCTGGTGTGAGTCGTTCGGGCTCCTCGTGGCGTGAGGCGTTCGGGCACCTCGTCCCCTTTTGGGGCGTCTTGGGGGCCTCTTGGCGGCCCCAGGGGCTTCTAGGAGCGTCTTGGGTGCCTTGGGGGAGCCTCTTCGGGCCTCTTGGGAGCCTCTTGGAGGCCGTTTGGGGCGTCTTGGGGGCCTCTTGGCGGCCCCAGGGGCTTCCAGGAGCGTCTTGGGTGCCTCGGGGGAGCCTCTTGGGGCCTCTTGGGGGCCTCTTGGGGGCATCTTGGGGGCCTCTTGGAGGCCTCTTGGGGGCCTCCTGGGAGCCTCTTGGGGCCATCTTGGGGCCTCTTGGTGCCTCCTGGGCGCTTCTTGGGGCCATCTTGGAGGGAATCGATCAAAGAAGAGGGGAGCTTTAATTTGCGCTGCCCCCTCAGAAGGGCAAAATGGGGCCAAAACCTTCGTAAAATCAATGAGTTTGGCTTTAAAGAAGAGGGGAGCTTTAATTAGCGCTGCCCCCTCAGAAGGCCAAAATGGGGCCAAAACCGCAGTAAAATCAATGATTTTGGCTTCACAGAAGAGGAGAGGGTTTTTTCTCCCTCCCCCCGTCGGGGCCAGAATCCTCGTGAGGGGTGTCGTTTTTTAGCCCTCCCAGGAGTCGAAAATGACCCCCCCAACGACCCGCGGAGGGACCTCTCCAGGCCCAGGGGAGGGGGTAGGGGGAGGGGTAAACCCCTCCCCGAAGGGGAAGAAGGGGGTTGAGAACAGAGCGGGCTCTCTAAACCACTCACGCCCAAAGGGCTGGTGGGATTTGGGGGCCCTCCTGGAGGACCTCTCGGAGGCCTCCTGGGCTCTCTTGGAGGCCTCTTGGGCTGTCTTGGGCCGTCTTGGAGGTTTCGTGGGCGGACTTGGAGGTGGAGGCCATCGTGGACCATCTTGGAGGCCATCTTGGCCGTCTTGGAGGCCATCCCGGCCGTCTTGGAGGCCTCTTGGGGCCATCTTGGGAGCCTCTCGGGCCGTCATGGGGCCATCTTGGAAGCCTCGTGGGCGATCTTGGGGCGATCTTGGGG